TTGATGATATAGTGATGGACAACCATTGCTTATTGTTTTATGTTGATTGATATAGATGTATGACGTGGAAATAATGAAGAAGAAATGACTCGCCACTGGAGAAAATTTGTAGCTAGGAGTTTGAGAATAGATGTTAGCTAGGGAGTTTGAGATTAAGGATTTGGGAAAGTTGAGATATTTCCTTGGGATAGAAGTTGTTAGATCAGAAAAAGGGATTTTTATTTTTCAAAGCAGGTACATCCTTGATCTCCTTAAAGAAATTGGTATATTGGGATGTAAACCTGCAGAATCACTTATTGAAGCCAATCATAAGCTTCAAGCTGGAGTGGAAAGTTCAGTTGATGTTGACAGGTATCAGAGATTGGTCGGGAGGTTGATTTTCCTTGCCCATACTAGACCAGATATTGCGTATGCTGTAAGTTTAGTGAGTAAATACATGCATGACCCTCAGGAGGCTCACTTAGAACTTGTGCATCGGATTCTAAGATATTTAAAATTAGCTTCAGGTAGAGGACTTTTATTTTCTAAACATAGCCATTTGACATTAACAGGCTATACAGATGCGGATTGGGCTGGTTCCCTTGATGACAGGAGCAGGAAGATCAACCTCAGGTTTAATAATTTGTGCTTTTTGTTGGCAGAGAAAACCTGGTGACATGGAGAAGCAAGAAGCAGACAGCTCATTGCTTGCTCAAGGGGTTCCAGTGACATCTGAATATGTTATCACCCGCATATGGCACAGGGATACGTGAAACCCTATGGGTTTGCCACAGATTAATGGAAGAGTTAAAGTTGTTGAAACAACTAGAATCATATCCTTTGTTTTGTGATAGTAAAGCAGCCATCAGAATATTATGGTAGATAATCGTAGTCCAGCTATGATCGAACTAAGCAACATAGGAGACTTGATCGGTCACCTTTATAAAAGAGAAGATAGTTGGAGTAGTCTTATATAATGTGCTCCTAGTTATAGCTTCAAAAGAGCAGCTAAGTCGATGTTTTCACAAAGGTTTTGGAATAGCAAATTGTTCACCCTTTAGTGATGCAAGTTGGGCATTTTGAGTCTATATCTATTCTACCAAACTTGAGGGGGAGTGTTGAAATTCTTTGTAATTTAAAATGTAAATATTGTCTTTCCTACGTTTAGGTTTATTTCTATTGTCTTTCCTAGTTTAGGTTTATTCCTATTTAGATTACTTCCTATATTGGAACAATCTTTTGTATATATATAGTGGAGTAGAGATTGAAAAATAGAACACAATAAAAAGAAATACGACATATTCTTTTAATTTCTTCATTTTTACTTCTCCAAGTAATTAAATTTCCTCCAACAAACGTACAATGACTAGAAGTTGATCTCCTATGAGGAGGTCCAGCCCAATCAGCATCAATAGAGACTTCAGTTTTGAGGTGTGTTTTCGCACCGCCCCCGAGCGATCCGAAGAACGTTTGATTTTAGTTTGGTTTTGGAAAAGAGTGATTTTTGTTAAGGACAGTGGTGACAAAACACTTTTGGATACGATGCCGATAAATCGGTCTTATAAAACATTTTGAGTCCACCTATTTTTACGGCAATGTTTTCGGCAATGGGACCGTTTCCAATTAAAAAGTGACTTCATTTAAAACCCAATTTTTATTCAAGGCCAATTATTTTAAAAAGACTGGTCAGGCATACCAAGTACGATTCTGGGTAAGGGAATTAGGTACGTCGGCCCGTTGGAAGCTGACGCCCAGAAAACCGACCTTTTTTAACCTACAATGTCTAATTTATTTTAGGAAAGCCAATTTATTTAATTAAACCCAACCCGAATAAAACGAACCGAGTTCCTACGTGGAAAATTAGTTAATCGTCCCAAATAAATCCATTCATTGCATCCATACTCATACAAATCATCCAAACCAAAGTAATTGAATCTCAAACCCAAAGCAGTTAAGTTCAAAGTAAACAAAAAGACCCGCTCTTGCCTCTAGGTTAAAAGGCGGGCCACAAACCGGGAACCTAAAAATACATGTCTACCCAATTTTGAATTCAGAGAAACCCTAAAAACCCGAAAATCATTCTTGCATAATTAATATATCTAAAATACTAAACTTTGATTAAACTGCAATCTCCACAATTGGTTGTCTTCTTTGACTATTAAAAGAATTAATATTTATTTAATTGTACGAAATTATTTTTGTTTTAAGAAACAAAAATCGTTTCTGGAACCCTCTAGAACGAGTTCGCGTCACGCAGCTGTCTATGAAGAAAACAGTTGCGTGACGGATCAAATGGCCTGCGCTACGCCAGCTGTTCATAATTAGGGAAAACTTCCAGATTTCGTCAAACGTTTATTTCAAATCCATAATTTAAAATATAATATTTAAACAGTAAATAAAACTAAATAAAACCAAATTAAAAATTCATGAACGCCAAACAGTTCCGTCACGCAACCAACTAGATCCGTTACGGAATCTAAGAGCTGCGACGCAACTGATCTGGTTTAAAGCAACCGTATTTTGGACATGCAACAGTTTCCGTCACGCAACTTGCCAGATCCCATGACGGAAACTTACTGGCTGTGTTGATGTGCAAAACTGCTCTGTCCGTATTTATTTTCCAAACAACCCTTTTTACGTTTTCTTTTTTATTTTAACTTTTTACGTTTTCTTTTTATTTAAACATGCTTTAATACAGTCTAAAAACATCCAAGAGTGGGCAGAATACCGTTTAACTAAGATCACACTACTAAAGCACCCATGAAATAAATAATAATGGATAAACAACCAAAAGTACCAAAAAAAGTCTTAAAGAATTACCTAACCCTCAGATTGAGGATTGTAAACAATCTGAACACCTTAAAGAATGAGATTTCAGGGTTCCAGAAGCTTTTATCTCCAAGGATTCAACACTCACTTCTTTTTCTTTTCTTTTTTTTTTTCTTTTTATGATTTTCGTTTTAACTTGATTAATCTCTAATGGTTGTTTTTCTTCAAGAGAACTCAAAAAAGTTTCTGCAGAAAAAACCAGCCGCAAGTGTGTATTTTTGTGCCCTAAAATTCTTGTCCAGAATAAGATAAAAAACGCTGTATTTATAGAGGTAGGTCAGGACACAGCTGCGTGATGCAACTGACGGCCGCGTGACGGACCCGATAGCTGCGTGACGCAGCTCACTTTTTGGACCGTTGCCACGTACCCAAACAGAATGAAAAACAGTTATGTGACCGTTGCCACGTTTACCCAAACCAGAATGAAAAACAGTATGTTCAAGCCTTTTAGGGTGACGTCGTCTTAATTGGAGTTGCGGGACGGCAACTGGCCAGTGCCGGTCACGCACTGAATAGCTGCGTGGACGCTAACTCTAATGCAATGCAGACACCTTAAATTGGCGTTTAAATTATCAATCCTTGGGTTTAAAGACATTCCGATACGGCCGTGACCCCTTCAATTCTTGCGTCCCTCGTATCTATTCATTGGGTTACGGTAGGTGGCATAAAGACACGCGTCAACAAGCGTTGACCATGCTCTAGCAGAAGAGTCAAAAGCTCTTTCAGGTGCAGACTATAGATAGCTTTAAAATTGAAAGATTTAGCTTCAAGATGAGAACTACGAGAATCATGCTATATTTGATTCTTGTATGTGCCTAATGCAAATCAGACACCCTTAAATTGGTTTAAATTAAATCCTTGGGTTAAAAGACTTCCGAACGGCCGTGACCCTTCATTCTGCGTCCTCGTATCATCATTGGGTTAGGTGGGGGCATAAAGACACGCGTCAACAAGGTGACCATGCTTAGAGAAGAGTAAAGCTCTTTCAGGTGCAGACTATAGATATCTTAAAATGTGAAAGATAGCTTCAAGATGAGAACTACGAGAATCATGCTATATTTGATCTTGTATGTGAGAGATAAATCAATTTGCTAACCAATTTCTGATATTGACTTGGGTCAATCGATTCTCCCACCCTGCTTGTAATTTGTAGTTAACTTCAATGGGAGAGTCAGCTGGTTTACAATCCGACATACCAGTTTCTTCCACGAGATCCAAAATATATATCCTATTGAGAGATAAAGATCCCTTTATTTGATCTAGCGATTTCTATACCCAAAAAGCATCGCCAGACCCCTTAAATCCTTAATCTCAAACTCCTAACTAAAAATTTCTTTAAGCTAGCGATCTCCTCTTAATCATTTCCAATTACAACAATATATTCAACATAGACAATCAGTTGGGAGAAAGATACAGGAGAAAGATTTTCTTTATTTCTGTATTGAATAATTTGATTGCATCTAACCTATTTATACACAAGAGTCTAACTCTAAATAGGAAAATAAAAAGAAGGAACAATATTTTCTCCTAAATAGGCTATACAAAGATATTCTAGATTATATAAGTCCACTTAAAAATAAAGCTTATGGTTTAATAATTTTTTTATGTTGGGTCATGAATTTCTTTTATTATTGCCTTAATGTTCAAGGTTTCCTTTATTATCATTTTGGTACTATCATTAAATTTGTTAGTTTTGTGAGTGGGTGAGGTGGTTAGCCACAAGGCATCATGTTAGTGATGTGCACAATTTCTTTCTGGTAAAAGCTTAAAAGAAAAATTTTAGTACTTCAATATTTGAGGGACAAGATTTTCTTTGCCGATCAAGAGCTGTATACTTTGTTAGTTTGTACTCTATGGAAAGTTGACGTGGATAATGGACTAAATAAAAGAAATGATTATTTTCCCTCAGCTTGTCTGCATGGATGTCATATTACTATTAGAAAAGTATCCAATACTTTTTATTTTGATTCATCCTTTCAAGTTATTGATAAAAAAATATATGCAATCAAACTAATTAATACAAATAAAGGAAAAAAATCATAGAACTGACCATCCTAGATGGGTGAAGGGACATTATAGTGTAGAAACTGGACAGGAAATTTGCAGTTACGGGAAGTTCTTAGTGATGTTTCAGTTCCAATTTTTCTTTTTTTTATTTATCAATGCCACTTTTTCTTCCTCTTTCCAAGCAGATGGTTGAAGAAGCTGGTGGGACAGTTACTCGCATGGATGGTGAAAAATTTTGTCTTTTTGATAGATCTGTTTTGGTATCCAACGGCGTGCTGCATGCAAAGGTTAAAACTTGCTGCTCCTTTTTGTGACAACAAAAATCTTTTTAATCATCTTCTGTATTTCTTTCTCTTCATTGTAGACAACAAGCAAGAAAAACTTCACATTTATAAGGTTATTGGCTATTCATTAACACATTTTTACAGAACATTGCTAGCAATGGTTAACTGTTGTGACCGTAATGTGCCGATTACATGGCTATTAATGGCTATTACCTGCTTGTAGTCCTTCTTGTACGATTACATGGTTGGGCATGAATCATTAACTTTTCTGCCATGGACATGGTCAACGGAAGTTTTGAAACTTAATTCTCTTTTCCATCATATATAACACAGCAATCTTTTTTTTTTTTTTTTTTTTTTTTTTTTTTGAAACTTTAATTCTCTTTTCCATCATATTAGAACACAGCAAATCTTTTTCTCTCTCTTTTTTCTTTTTTTTTTTTTTTGTGGTTTGGACTCTTTTTTTTTCTGTGGGGGTGGGGGGAGCGAGGGTTCTATGTTCTTCCAAAACAGGACATCTTACGTACCAAGGACTTAGGAGATGCTACCATGCTCATGTTTGGTGCTATTGTCCTAAAGTTCTATCAATAAAAGATTATTTATCAGCATTTTGGCATACTATGGGCTAACTATGGCCTCCCTTCCCCATTTTTTTTTTTTTTTTTTTTTTTTTTTTTTGGTGGTCTTTTTTTTTCTGTGGGGGTGGGGGGAGGAGGGTTTATGTTCTTCCAAACAGAAATCTTACGTACAAGGCTTAGGATGTACAATGCTCATGTTTGCTTGTATGCTCCTAAGTTCTATCAATAAAGATTATTTATCAGCATTTGATACTATGGCTACTATGGCTCCCTTCCATCTTTTAAGTTGTGGTGGAAAATTGAGTCTCTAAAATATATTACATTTCCATCTTATACATAAGCTTATGGATTAGTTTGGAGCATTCTAGATGCTTGAGTTCTTCAAGCAAGCTGCCCATTATGCAAGGCACTCTTATAGGCAATCTTGGCCCAACTTCTCCACAATTTGGAAGGCTTCAAGGCATCTTGTGACACTTTTCCTTGTGTGTTTATACTTCATACTGGGTAGCATAGAGAATTGAGGGGATGGGGGGGAATTTCTTTGAGAATAAAGAACAAGGTTTTAAATTGCGGCTGCAGATGTGGGGATCTGTAGGTGTTTTGCAGTCCAGGTGTAACAGTCATGGTTTGTGAATTTTAAAGAAAAAAAAAACCTATTATCCATGTCAGTGTGTCCAGGTTGCTATGATTCACCGTTATGATTGTGTTGATATGCAAAATAGCAGGTCTTTAAAGCTGTGGTACGAGAAACATTCCTTTGGAGGATATATGCATGCCTTTAAGGGAATTTAGAATATGTTTGAGTTATAGCGAAATAAGTAGGATGCAAAAGGTTGGAGTTATTGTCAGCCATGCGAGCCCTTAGAAATTCATCTCGAATGTAATTTCCTGTTCTTTATCTATCACTTAGATTGGTGATGGTTTATTTCTTCGGCAACAATTGTGAGAGCAATGCTTTATTTCTAAATTTTTTCCTTCATCATTACTCTAATGTCTACATTGCTTTCACTGTTAGTTTCTGCACAGAGGGTGTGGTGATTGTTTCTATAGGTTTCAGGGGGATGCCTTTTCTTCCTTCTTGAAATCAAGTTTTTCTTTTATGTGGATATAATTTTTCTTCAGTTATTCAAAGGAAAAGCCTGCCTTTTGTTCTGAAAAAATAACTTTTTCTGATTGCTGTGGCTTACGAGTGGATTTATGTCTTATAAATAAACTGAGTTGCTGTTTTGCATTAAACATTATCTTTAGGTAGCTTTAGTTGGGCTTGTGGTATCCTGTTCCTAGGATCATCAGACCTTTCATGTTAATCAAGAAAGTTTTTGTTCTTGATCACCCCTGTAGCATGCAAATTTTTTGGGGCTTGTGGTATCTTGTTCATAGGATCGCCAGGCCTTTCATGTTAATCAAGATAGATTTTGTTCTTGGCCACCGTTGTAGTATGCAAATTGCACGATCTTGTGTATAGTGATGATATGTTGTGGCCAAAGAAGAAATTTAAGCATATTATTGGTACCGAGTCTTTGAATCATTCAGGTCTTAGTACATGAAGGGATAAAATGTCCAAGGATTTGAAAAAAGGGTTGGGGTTTAGAAAGCTTAACAAAATTAGGCTATACAGATAAGACAGCAGGTACGGTGTGGTTTCAAAATTGCAAGCAAATAAAATAAGTATATGCTCATTAAGAAACTAAAATCTTGAATATTGACGTAATCAAATCTTAAACTGTTGCTTAATCTTCCATCACTTTCCATTACTAGTGTCTTGATATTTTATAAAGAATCTTTGCCTAATTTCATTTTGAAGTTCATTATATATACAATAGAATCATGTGGAAAGACAATTATAGTTATATCTATATATATCTTTATGTGTAACTAAGCTTAAATATTATCTATATGAAACATGGTTGTCTCTCTCAAGGATATCATGTGGAAGTGAAATTATTATGTGTAGTACATGTGTAGAATGATGTCACTTTCTTTGCATCTCATTAAGATTGATATTTGAAGTTGTCCCCATCACATGGAATGCAAGATGTTGCTTTACTTGCTTTTGAGTCTTACCTCAACTAAGTAATTTATTAATGTTCTTTCAAATGCAGCTCTTAGAGAAGATTGGACCTGCAACTGAGAAATTAAAATCTAAAGGAATCGATTTCTCACTGTGGTATAAGCCAGAAAATTATCGCACAGATTTTTGAAATATGCCCAGAGTTCTCTTCTCATTCAAAGCTTTTACAGCAACAAACAGGTGCTTCATGTCATACCCTTATTTGTGTTGTCTTGCATTTTTACCATTTGTGCGTTTAATATTTTTTACATAGGCTAAATCTCTTGTCTGAAATCCTCAATCTGATATGTTAGAATCTTATACTATGTCCTTTCTTTTTCTTTTTAAAGAAAAATATTTTGGTTAAGCAGAAATAAGAGTGTAGTACAGAGATGACTGTCTGAGGATTAGATATCCTCTTAGACAAAACAATAAACAAGCAATACATCATGACAAGAGTAGTTTTCTCTTTAGACAAAAACCTAAGTTTCCTTGAGTGTTCTATGTGGGTTTCATGTATTATGATAATACATACAAAACCTTGTATTACTTGGTTTCATCTGGTAGGCTTTGATAACACAAACAAAGCTCATCTAAAACTAGTGATCATTGGAAACAAGCTTCAAAATGGTTCTTAAAAATTCTCATGGAATTACCTGTATGAAGCTAAGTAAAAATTTAAACCGGTTTCGTTGAGGCAAATTTAAGTTTTTTACTACATATGGATCTAGGTAATGGTTTGGTTACCACCAGAGCAGGCTACCTTGTAGATTTCCTTTGCAGGTAAAATTAAATTAACTGGCATTATAAATGTACATTGTGTTTCTTTTCCCTCTACTTATATGATCCCTTGCCTCAACATATTACTCATTGATTGGGGTTCCTTCTTTATTTTCAATGGTTTTTACTCTATATTTGATGCACATTATTTGGCAATATCGATTTTATTGATTTTTGCTGTTGAATTGATATGTCGAAAATAAATTTACCAGATCGGAAAAATAAAAATACAAATTGTATAAGTCAGGTGAAAATAGGGGGAAAAAAAAATCCTTTTTTAAAGCTAGAAAATATGTATTTAAAACTAAATTTTTTATTTTGTGTCATTGATACAAGAAGTCCTCTTCTACAGTGCTGAAGAACCGGGAAGCGAAGACAAGGAATTGAAGAGGGTCAGAATAATGAAATGCTGATGATGATGACAGGAAGCATAAAATTTAATGCTTGTATTAGTTTCATTACCTTTGAATAATCATGTAACAATGTGTTTAATTCAGTGTTATTAAACTCAGTCCGGACATTGACCCGGCTAAAGAACTGGATAGATGAGCTATTAGTTTATCCGGTGGATCAATGGTCCAATTAATGGATAATCAAAATATTAATAATAAATATTGATGAAATAATTATAATTTAAAATACCGATAAAATTATGATTAATTCGAAAAGCTATTCATTTCATTTGTCCTCTGTGCTGTTTGTGGAATCGAGCCTCTTCGGATTGTAGGTGATGCTTAATTATAATATAATGAAAAATAAGTAAAATATTAAAAAAACTGTTCTGGATCAATCGGTTTGTACGGATCAATTGTTTCAATTGTGAATCAGCAGATTCAATTCAGTTTCCTTTAAATGGTTAAAAAGTAAAATTGGCCCGGTTGTGAGTGAAATTGGCCTGGTTGTGAGGTCGATTTTTCAGATTGATTTACTGGGTCGGGCCGGATTTAATAACTACGGCAAACAAATCATTTCAATAGCAAGTATCTATTGGCAATTTGTTTATTTCATCAACCCCTTTTCAGGAGACAAGCTCTTATTATAGAAAAACGGAAAATAAAAACCAGAAAACAAAAACGACAGAGAACGACTTCTAAGTTTTTGGTCGAATGATGATACCTTTAACCACAAGCCCTTTCTTCCATTTCCCACCCTCATATTCATACAAAGAAACTTCAATCTCCCCGACATTTTCCGGTGAAGTGATGAACTCACCGACGGGGATTTCAATCCATCGTCCTCTAGGCTTTGTGGCTAAGTTTTGTTTGTGTTCTTGCTTGATTCCATTTGGAAGAGTAATCCTGGTGTTAACAGGAACTTCCCATCCATAAGCACAGTCCTTTAGCATTATCACAAATGCAACTTCATAGAGGAATATTGAGGAGAGCTTTGTTGTGTCAAATTTTCCATGTATTTCCAGCCAACAAACGTTTAATAGTTCAGCCACTTCCACAAACGCATCACTGTCAAAAAGACAACTTTAGTCCTCTGATTATATCCAAATACACTGTTTAAGACTTACTTTTCCAGAATTTAATTATACAATTCCTTTATTTTCTCTTTGTTGCACTATTTGATCCTTTTATATATATATATATATATATATATTTTGTTAATTGCTAGTAAAATGTTGTAATAGTTTCATTGCATATAAAAGTGACAAAAAGTGTATTTACTATTTAGTCCCCCGTTTATATTCAATTACATTAGAATTCAATTGTGGGGTCCTCAATTTTGTTCTCATTATACTACTTAATCCGAGTAACGATCAATTTAATAGAAGAATTAAGTGTAACTGACATAAAACTGAATGATCATAATTAAATTTTAAAATTGAAAGTCCTGTTTTGAGTATAATCAGGGCTAAATAGTAATTGTCTCTCATTATTATCTATAATTTATATATAAATATGAAAGTGGGAGTAGAGAATAGTTGAATGGATAAAAATATGATGGTAAGTTAATTATTATAACAACAAAGGACAAGTATTAATTTGATTTGGAACATTAACTAATTTAACTCTATTAGAAATTAAAGAATAATCCTCAAATTATTATAATGATATTAGGTATTAAAAATCGTACCAAAATTAAAATTTTAATTTAATTTATTATTATTATTATCTTTTTTACCCTTTAATGTTTGTTTTTGAGTTTTTATATATTTTTGAAATAGATAGAGCAACTTGCAATTGGTTATTATTATTATTATTATTATTACTACTACGATAATAAATGTTAAAAATAAAAATATTTTTAGTAATTTATTATTACGATAATAAATGACTAAAAATATGAATCCTTATATTTTTGAAAAATAGAAGAAACTATTACTGGTCTCGCACGTCCAGAAAATAAATAAATACATAAAAAGCACGACTTGAGTTCAACAAATGATACGGTGAAAATAAAAAATAAAAAATAAAAAACTTATAGAGAGGAAGAGTAATATTGCTACCTTGTCTCGTAGTGGCAAGGCCAGTGCCAGAAACGATTATCTTCAGCCCAGGTGATTGATAAAGCCCTAGCAAATAAGAAGAAGCAGTTCCCGTTGGACTTCTTTTCAACCCAATATTTCTGCAGTGAAAATAAATTATTAAATATCATAAAAATGCATAAATCATTAAACAGATGAAATTGGAAAATGGCTATTATTTGCCTTCTTCTTTTGGTTCAAGAAAACTCCATTGCAGAGTTGATCATAAAGCTTATCTGCTGAAGACTTGTCAATTACTGAGTCAGCTTCTCTTAGTATAGATTCATAGTTATAAGGAAGCTTTAGTTCTGGTTCTGGTTGGGGCTTCACTTGTTGTTGTGGTGCTTTCTCCTCTGTTCTGGACTCAGTTGGCTGTTTCTGGTTTGCTTCTTCACTTGTTTGTGACTCATCTCGTGACCACCCTGTCCCCATCCTCTTATGATCATTGTTTTCTCCTCTACACATACCAGTAATGTTTTTATATCATCATTAAAAGGTGAATATAATAATAATATTAATGTCGCATAATTATAAGAATAAACCATTTTTTATTGTCTTTTCAAATTTATCCTTATTTGTTTTTTTTTTCTTTTTGCTATAAAAGTAAATTATAATAATTGAAGGTCTGAATTCGATCCGTTGAAATCAAATCAAACCAAATTACTGCAAACTGAATAGAATAATTTTTAAAAAAAAATGTAAATCGAACCAGAATCAAAAATTGCACAAAATCAAACTGAATTGATAGGTTGAGTACAATTCAGTTTATTTGATTTTAATTGTTTTAAGCATATTTGAGTTTATCTTTTGGGTTTAACAAAACTCGAATTGAACCAAAAAAATTTTCAGTTGTCTCTATAAAAATCGAAATAGAACAAATTACGAAAAATATCAAACTGAACCGGTTTGATTCTGTTTAATTCATTTTTCTCCAAATGTGCTATGTGCTAGTAAAAACCGGTTAGTTTTTGTACATTATATTATGCTCATTTCTGGTTTTCGATCAAGATAAGGTATTTAGCATTGACTGTCAGATTTGGAAATTTATAAACAATTTTGAGTATTTTCAAAGTTATTCTCATTTTAACTTGAACAGAATAGCTTAGTGGCAAAGAACATTTGCCGGTTGATCACTATGATTTAGATCATGGATTTGATCCTCCGCAATGCAAACACTCTCGAGCCAACCCCTTTTGCCTCCAAGGGTAGGGATTAGTCAGGTTTATTTTGCACTATTAAAACGGACACGGACTTGAATACCTTGTGCAACTATATGAAGAAAAATTATCCTCATTTGATGTTTTTTTTTTTTTTTTTTTTTTTTTTTTTTTTTTTTTCCGGTTAGTGTTCTGCTCACCATTATATCTAATGCTTCATTATTATGCGTTGGTGTGCGAGTGAGAGTGAGAGACATGTACAAATACTCTCGAACTACAGTCATATATAGCTCTTCGCGTATCAGAGAGCGATCGTATAGCTACTCCTACTCCTTGCGCAATCCCTTAACTTGAACAGACGATCAATCTGCGCGCGCCCTTTAGTGGCACCAAGATACGCGAATACATTTGGCGACCGGGTTGATCACTATTGATTTAGATCATGGATTTGATCTCCGCAATGGCACAAAACACTCTCGAGCCAACCCCTTTTTGCCTCCAAGGTTTTTTAGGATTAGTCAGGTTTATTTTGCACTATTTAAAACGGAACTACGGACTTGAATTACCCTTGTGCAATCTATATGAGAAAAATATCCTCATTTGATGTTTTTTGTTTTTTTTTTTTTTTTTTTTTTTTTTGGCTAGTAAAAATAACAAATCACGTGTCTTTGATTTGGGAGACTCGCTAAGGAACAAAAAATAATGCTATACTATAATTCACCCCAGACGTGACTGGCTTATTTTTTTTTTTTTTTTTTTTTTTTTTTTTTTTTTTTTGGGTTAAAAATAACATAATCACGGTTGGATTTGGAGACTCGCTAAGGGACAAAAAATATGTATACTATATTCCACACACACGTATATATTCCTTAGAGCATTTATTCTTTGATAATAAAGCATCTATGAAAGCTATTTATTCCTTAGAGCAATTGCTGTTTCAGCTTTAGGAGGAGATAGGTAGCAGTTTTGATTCTTTGGAGTTACTTTACACCATTTAAGGAGCTTGTGAACTACTTGGGCTTTGTTTCTTTTACAAAATTAAAGTGTTGGCATGGAGCTTGGTAAAGTAGTAAAGTGTAAAGCTGAGTAGTAAAGTGTAAAGATCAAAGGATAAAATTGCCCTTAACCCTACTCAGAACCCAACTTTCAATCGATCACCTTCAAATGCACCACCGCCGCTGCCGCTACCACCGTTACTGCCACTGCCGCTGCTGTCTTCATCTACACATATGCATCAATTACTTATAAGTTGCGTCGAGCTTATTTCTCAGTTCGACTTCTCTACCGCTCATTGCCTTCTCTTAGTCTTATCTTTTGTCTCTTCTTTAGGGATAGCCATTTTTCAGTTTTCGGAACCAGGGCCGTCGGTTCAAAACAATGGGAACCGAAACCAGAACTAGAATCGGTAGCCTACGGTCCGATTTTGGTTTCGCCATTTTTGGAACCATGAACCGGTAGTTCAAAGAACCGATCGTAACGGTTCGGAACCGACGGCTTTTTCAGCCGGTTAGAACTGGTGGTTATAAGAAAACTTGAATTTTCTGTCAAACGGCTAGAACAAGCGGTTCCATCCGGTTCCAGCAGCTTTGTTTTATTTTTCAAAATAATTTTGTGAAATCTCCAAATTAACCCTCCTAACAACTATAAATGGCTATATAACGGCTAATTTTAAATGTATTTTGGAAAATTGATTTTTTTGATTTATTATAAATACCTCTTTCCATTTACAACCTCCTCACACAAAATTATCTTTATTCCCTCTACTTGGAGATTTGTGCAAAAATTTTGGATGTTTTAAAAATATTTAATGATGCTACATATAAATTTAGTGGGATTTATTATCCCACATCTCATTTATTTTTGCCTGTATGCATTAATATTGTTAGTGCGCTTTAAGAATTTGAAAATGATACTTTATTACAAAATTGTGTTTTACAATGAAAAAAAATGGTTATCTTACTTTAAAAATATATCACTTCTTTTTCTTGTTACTTGTGTATTTGGTCCTAGACGTAAATTTAAAATTTTATCTGAATATTTGACTTTTTATTATGAAATATTAAATCTTGATGTAGAAGATAGTATTAATATAAATATAGTATTGCATGAAGTTAGAAAAAAATATTATAGAATTATATACTGAATTTGTTGAATATTCTAGTTCATCTACTTCTTCTAATTGTTCTCAATTTGATAGTTAATCATTCCCAACTGAAAAGGTAAGTGTTTTAATCATTCCAACTGAAAAGTACAGTGTTGGTGTTGCTGAATGTATATTATTACAAAGACAAAAAAAGACCATAGGGGATCTGTTCTTTATTCCGAATCTTGATAATTATCTTTACCTTATATACTGAATTTGTTGAATATTCTAGTTCATCTACTTCTTCTAATTGTTCTCAATTTGATAGTTAATCATTCCCAACTGAAAAGGTAAGTGTTGGTGTTGCTGAATGTATATTATTACAAAGACAAAAAAGACCTAGGGGATCCGGTTCTTTTTCCGAACTTGATAATTATCTTTACCACTGTTTTCGAGTTTGGTGATAGTTTTGCAGATAACAATTTCTCAATTCTAGATTAGTGGAGTCGTCACGTCAATGCATTTCCAACCCTTACACTAATTGCAAAATAAGTTTTAGTAGCTCCGATCTCGACTGTTGCGGTTGAATAAACTTTTAGTCAATGAAGAAACATACTTAATGAAACACGATCTAGGATGACACCTGATTTACTAGAAGCACAATCATACATGGATGATTGGAGTAAGACCGAACTAAGAGCACAAGAGAATATCAAAGAAAATGAAGATTTATATAATCTTTACAATGGGTCCTCAATGGGAACATCAACCGGTGAAAATAGCGACTAAGTAAGGTAAAATGGGCGCAATTGGTCTAAGGTAAGTAAGAACTACGTGAGCTTTGATTCCTCTAAACCCCAAGAGGATACGTAGGGAACTTAATTTTTGAAAAAAAAAAATTAAGTTCAAACCTTTTTTTTTTTAAATAATAATAAGTTTCAGCTTTTTTTTAAAAAGAAATAAATTAAGTTGAAGACTTTTTTTTTTTAAAAAAAAAAATTAAGTTCAAGCCTTTTTTTAAAAAAAAGTAAATGAAGTTCAACCATTTTTTAATTTTTTTCTTAAAAGCTTTTTTTAGAAATATTTAACAAATTTTTAAATTTTAAATTTTCAAGAAAAAATATTCTCTAATTTTTTATTTTATAATTATGCGATTCGCCGGAGAACCGGTCAGAAAATCGTCTGGAACCGTCGGTTTTTAAACTGTTAAAGAACCGAAGCCGGAATCGTAACTGGAACAGTTAATTTCTGGTTCGGTTCTGGAACCCTGGCCACCCCTACTCTTCTCCCTATGGTGATTCTGGAGAAAGATTGCTTTACCAGTTCGTTAAAGCCCTATCTTTCCATCTCAGCCACCGCGGTAGAGGTGAAGCTGAAAGCAGTAGCCATACTACCAGCAGAGAATATGAAGAATCTCTTCAATCTTGTTATTTATCTCTAAACCAAATCACTCCATTTATAAGATTTAGCCATAACAAACAAAAAAACATATTATATATGCTTCAACCCTCCCATTAAAAAGATTTCAAAATACTTTAGATATGTAGTTTTTCAATTTCATTAGTCTTAAATAGATAAATTTAATACATGTACTAATTATTTTTGTGATAATATTATATAAATAAAATAATCACTTATCCATCATCACCATTAAAAGTTCAAAACTTAGTTGGCAAATATATTTATTAGAGAAGATAATATATTTACCTTTTCAATTAAAGATGCGGGCATCAAACAAGATGGATAATATTGCCATCTATATTTCAACTCTTCAAAATTCAAATTCACTGCTTCAAGTAAATTATTGATAGAAATGAAAAACCAGCTGCCATTACTATCCTTCCAAACGAAGCTTTAGTAGTAAACTGCGTCTTTTACCTTGACATGTTTCTAAAAGAAGATTCAAGAAATCTTCAAATATTTTTGCATAAAATCAAAGCTTTAAACCCTAAAGTGATTACAGTAGCAGAAAGAGAACCTAACCATAACCATCCATGCTTTTTCCAGATATTTTTGGAAGCTTTAGATTACTACATAGCAATATTCGACTCTATAGAAGCAACAATAGCGCCAAATAGCAGAGAAAGATTGGCTGTAGAGCAAATATGATTCGTCCTTCTTCTCTGCGAATCGTTTAGTATTGTGCTTTGGTTCTATAAAGACAAGGCTTCGATTCGTTTGGTGTTAGAGTGCGACTGCGCTAGGGTTTGTTTCTCTCTATTTTGGGAC